TGTGTGTAGATCTTGTAATCATGTGTATTTTTCTGCCTTCAGCTCCAAAAGCTCCTCACAATGGACCCGACTAAAAGAATCACATCAGAGCAGGCGCTGCAGGACCCGTACTTCCTAGAGGACCCATTACCAACCACTGAGTGAGCCTCAGTAAACTTTTGCAAACTTTAATCAACACAATCGTGTTGGTGCTTCAATCACTAATTTCATCTGTTTTCTTCTAGTGTGTTTGCTGGCTGTCAGATCCCCTACCCCAAACGAGAATTTCTTAATGAAGACGAGCCAGAGGAGAAAACAGAAAAGGTAAGTGTTATCCAGTTATCCTGTGCCTTAGAAGAAGAAGAAAGTGTACTTTATTGGTCCCCGTGGGGAAAATCGCTCTCTGCAGTCTAGCCGCTGCCTTACAGATAACTTCACTGGCGGCGAATGCAGCTTTTAGGTTATTGCTAATAGTTACATGGCTACATTAACACCTCAGAAACATCCTCATAAAGATTGGGATGTCAGTCTTTGAGATGCTTTGTTGTGCTACTGTTCATGTGCTAAGCTGTTAGTGAGAGAAAGGGCTGTGTCCCCGCCTGTCTGCAGCAGTGCTGTGCGAAGCTGCGTGTGAAGACGGCACAGTTTGTGGCACTGCTAATGTGCGAATACCTAAGCTGATATTAATGTTCAGCACTAGAGTATAGATATTTGGACAACCCTTCTTGGTATATATACTGCCTGCAGTATCTGCATGGTTAAAAAAGTACCGTCACATTTTCAGAAACTAAAACATCGATCGGTATTGTGTCAGTTCACTTAACGTCCCATCTTAAGTTAGTTGTCAATGGGGTCTAATGTGGCAGTTTTTGGTGTATTTTATGGGTTAATGCGCGGCTGTCCCACCTCACAAAGTCTTGCATTTATTTTTCAGGCTTTTTCTGTAGAAATTTTGGGGACTGTTAAATTGATAAAGTCTTAATGTACAGCTTTTCACTAGTGGATTGTACTATTGCTATTCCAAGTGGTAGCTCCAAATGTGTCCAGGCACTTTCCCTTTCAGCCATAAAGAACAGATATTGTTATCTACTGGAGTGATATGATGTTATAGTACTACTGGTTCTTAGAAAGCAGTATCTTAGTTGAGTCAACAGTGTCCCTTGAGTTATTTTTACAGTGTAATAACTCAGCGCAGGCATTTAGCGGCGACTTTGCCAGAGGCAGGGACACACTGTACACGGTGTACAGAAGTGCATGAGGAGGCTGACCGTCCTTGTGCTCTGTGTTTCATTGTTGCTTTGCATGTAGCTTAAAAAGCGCAGCCTTTTTTCAAAGGCGCTAAGATTAAGATAAGATTTTTGTTGTGAAATCTAATGAGAGAGTGAGCACTGAGGCAGAGGCCGATGGCTCCATGTGACCGCTGTTCCTACATCATATTGGTAGCTGCTGGCAGGAAAAGATCTGAGCTTTACACCAGAGAACAGAGTGTTTGAGGAGCTCGGCTTGCACTGCTTTGGTTGGACTTCCTGTCAGCATAAAGTGTGGACATGCACAATCAATAATAGACAACATAAACAAAATAATTTGGCTGCTCCAAATCAGTACAACACCAAAACTGCTGATTGCAGACTGAAGTGAAAGCTGCTGATTTTATGAAATTACATGCAGGATTACGCATCATGCTGTACATTCATACTAAAATACACTAGCCACTATATCTGCCATTATATTGACTAAATGCAGTTTTTCAGATATTTTTGATCCACCATCTTTCATCCTCACCTGATGAGGCGTGATCTTGCACGGCGCTCCAGATCGAGGACGACTGAAAATTATTTTATATTTCTTCCATTTAAAGAAATCGCACCAACAGTTATCATTGTCTCACCAAGCTTCTTGGTGACAGCCTTGTGCAAGCCTGATATCTTTGCTTTGCTCTTGTTCATGGTGGCAGAGAAGCTGGAATGGAAGACATTGATTCTGTGGACACACGGGGACATGTGCAATGTATGGGAAATCCTGCTGGGTTGTAGGGGATCAAATACTTATTTCACTCAGGGAAATGTAAATGTAATCAGCTTCTAGCTTTTCTGGATTTTTGGTTGATATTCTGTCTCTGTTAAAATGAAATAACCATAAAAATTAGAGACTGTTTGTTTGTTTGTAAGTAAGCAAACTGACAAATTCAACCCACTGTAAGCCGATCATGGGATGTTTTTCTTTTCTTTTTTCAAAGAAAAGTACTTGTTACTTGATTTACCAAGGTTTGTGGCACAGAATTTTCTGCTTGTCTTAATTGTGCTTGATGGTGTTTTAGGGGGTGTCATTTATTTGGATTGAAAGGAGGAAAGATAATTGTGCCGCTGGAGGGGTCACAGCTGTGAGTGCAGTGCCAAACTTTGGCTGTGTCCTACAACTCTTCACTGGGTCCCTACTGACTGATTTCATGGTCTTATGCTGTCTCTGGAAAGAAACCTGTGCCTATGCTCATTATTCACTTTCTCACGGTAGCTCATATGCTTGTAATCTGCCGTGTTCTTTGTAGAATGCTGGTCATTGTTGATGTGACCGCCTTCATTTTTGTATACAAACAAGCGGATTGTTAGGGGATCGCCTCAGAACTTTCCACTCCCATCAGCGCATTTTTGCGACTGTGGCATCATGCTAATTTGTCCCACTTAGTAAGTGTGACCCTAAAAGCCCCGTGGTGGCTTGAAGGTCAACATTCTGCACACTGAATTCCTGAATTGTAGCCATAAACTGATAAATTCACAACTGTGTCAAATTTTTACACCAAATTTCAAATTTTGACTAAATTTTAAACCACATAATTGCCACATAATGAGCCAGAACGTAATGAATGTTTGCACCAGAAACTGGCTGCAGATTTCTGTGAACCATATTTAATAATCACCTGAGGAAGGACTGAACTGTTCACACAGGGTGTCTCATTCCCTCAACTCAGCCACGCATCCACATCCAAGGGCCATTTGGGGCATCTCTGGGGTATGGCTGCTGGCAGAAACCATAACAATGATTTTGGTCCGTCATTGCGGTCTCGATTTTTGAACTTGAAACCAGACTTAGGGCTTTAGGGCCTGAGCCAGCAGCATAAATGGGCAACAGATTCTCAAATCATGGAAATAGATATGTAATAGCTGCTTTATTAACAATATAGACAGACAGAGAATATGAGCTATCCTTACTGTCTCATCCTCAGATGAGTTAGTATACGTTTCCTTCCTTCCTTTGGCTCATTAGGTTAACATTTCTTGTGGTCTACTTAAGTTTTTTTTAATGCGTCCTTAAAACTCTAAACTCATGTTGTTGAGCTGCATTTCAATCCAGTCATCTGAGTGGGAAAGTGGGTCAGAGATGCAGAAAAGAACAACCTACAGCTAAAAATAGAGCAAAATCTTGGTTTCTTGTTTTCAGCAAGAACCCGAGATCATTCCACACACTCGCTTTTAGTCACAGCGTCTCTCTTTCTCCACTCCATAATTCCCAACCCACTTTCAGCTTTGTGTGTCTTTGTGCAGAACCAGACCCAGCAGCACCAGCAGACAACTGGCCAGGCTCAGGCCCAGAACCAGCAGCAGACAGCAGCCCAGCAGGCCCCCTCCCAGCAGAGCTCTGCTCAAACCAACGGCACCGCCGGAGCCACGGGGGCCACCACTGCAGCGCTACAGCACGGTCAGGACCAGGGGCCACCCAACAAGAAACCTCGGATCGGACCCTCTGGGGCCTCCTCAGGCACTGGGGTGCTACAGTCAGATTACCAGGTCAGTACAATATTATAGAACAAACACCAACACCAACATTTTCTGGTGAAACTGTTCATTTGTCTGTACTTTAAAACTCTATTAAATGAATGGTAAATGGCCTGTATTTGTCCCTAAGGACCCCAAAGCGCTTTACACATCCAGTCACACACACATTCACACACTGGTGATGGCAAGTTCCTTGTAGCCACAGCCACCCTGGTGCGCACTGACAGAGGCGAGGCTGCCGAACACTGGCGCCACCGGGCCCTCTGACCACCACCAGTAGGCAACAGGTGAAGTGTCTTGCCCAAGGACACAATGACCGAGACTGTCCGAGCCAGGCAACCTTCCGATTACAAGGCGAACTCCCAACTCTTGAGCCACGATCGCCGATAAATGAGTCCATTATAATCATCTCCTGCTCCAGACTTTCATTCTTGGACTCTATTAGTTGCATGAGTAGCTGTGCATGAGTTCCAAGTTCTCCTTTGTAGTGTTATTCTGGCACAAACGTGAGTTTATCATCTGACTGAAACAAGCTGTTTTAGCTGTCTTCCTCGTCCCTTCAAACTAACTGTGTCCTGATTGGAAGGTGAGTGCAGCTTCTGTGCTCATAGTACCTGAACCCTGAAACGATCATAAAAAACTGTCTTAAACCTAGTGTTTAGAGCAGGTTGAAGGCTTGTTTAATATGAACATCCCACAGTGTAACAGTATATGTGAAGAAAAATATATATAAAAGCATAAAAGGTCGACCACAGCAGGATGTACCATTCCAGCACTGAAAATGAGACACTCCAAACTCCTGTTTGAGTTCAGTTTGATTGCAAGTACGTGCTTTAAGAAACTGACATGATCTTCAGAAGGAAAAAAAACCTGCGTTAGGCAGTTAGGATAGGGAAATGTAAACGTATTAAGACATGAACCAACATGTTGTTGGGCTGAGAATGCTTACAGGGGGCTGCAGACTAAAAAATGTATACTCAAACACTCAGATACCAGACAACAACAAGATGTTGTTTAAATGATAAGGACTGTACAGAGCTGATATCAAATCACAATGGAGCCTGTGAGCTTTTGTTTTCTGCTCAGGCGCCTCCTGTATCGCCGGCTCAGCTCTTATCACGAGGCCAAAGAGACAACAGCTCTCGGCCTGTGATGAAGTGAAGCTGAATGCCAAAGTTTGGCATATGACATATTTTGACTTTCAAGGAGAACCCGACTGCTGCAGAAAATAAATGTGATCAGCGACTAATCAGCAACGTATGGGGTTAGCTCAGGTTTGAGCGTTACATGACCGCAGGAGCAGGGAGATCATGTGTCAGTACTTAACAGAGCACGGTGTGATCTAAGTGACTGCTTTGACCTCTCCTGCTTCTGTATCAGCGAGGCACACAAGTTTATTGCATACAGAGATATGCCTAGTTGCAAGTGACACAGCTGGTGGCTGTCAGGCCTCAGTTGATGTATAAATAAACTGTCGCAGTGGTCAGACACATCACGAGTGTGGCTATAGCTGCTACTGTCAGTGTCCTACTTTTTCCCTTTATTGATCTCTATCCACATATATTCCACCATGCACCACCCACCGATCATTTCCCTAATCTAGAACAGTGTAGCCAAGAACCCACAACTGTGGTATGGAGGCATGCAAACAGTTGAGGTCTCAGATTCTCAAAGCAATATCCAGATCGTTGAAATTTCAGCACCAGTACTTTTTACAGTCCATGTCTCCAAGCGTGTAAATGAGACTTTTTTTTTCATTACTAGTGAAATAATCCCAGAGCCACTGAACACACAGGGAAATATCATAATCCCAATTTTTTGAAATCCATGTGGAAAACAGCTTATGAGGAAAGGTTAATTAGCTGCAGACAACTGAATCTGGAAGGAAGTGGCGCTCATTAGCGCAATGTCTGGATGTAGCCTTAAAAACACAATATTTTGCACACCTCCAGAGTCACTGTTTGAATGTTTGCTGATAAGAAGTCTGGTGATTTAGCGACTGCGTCTCCACTCCTCTCTCTCTCTTTCAGCACTCTGGCTCCCGCCTTGGTTACCAAAGCAATGTCCAAGGTTCCACTCAACCCCAGAGCACCATGGGATACTCATCATCAACCCAGCAGAGCTCCCAGTACTCCCACCAGACCCACCGTTACTGAGGATCCTTGTCACTCCCTAACCAGCAGAGGAGTCAAGCTCCTCCTTGTCTTCAGCCAACCCTCAACAACCTCAGCTCCACGGCTTCTGTGTCCCGGTTGGACCCTTGTCCCTTCATTACATCATTCCAACTCCAGTCATCCTTCTTTTCAAACTGCCCTCACCTTTGACCTTTCGCCCGACAGCCTTCAGCGGCACTGTAACACGAAGGCTGATGAACATAGGAACCAAACGAAATCCAATGAGAAAACAAATTCTGCCTCATCGGCGCGTTGAAACACTTTTAAATCGACTGGGGAAAAAAAAGGTGTAAGATAGATGTCAAGGCGTCTCACACACAGACTCAGAACCGTGGCACTTACAAACACAACGTTCCTCACCAGGAAGAATCGCAGCTGTGTTCAAGTATATTATATAGCACCTTTTTCTATTTGCGTTTTTTTCTCCTGCTCGTTTGCTAGACTTTTCAAGTTTAACTTGATAGTTGATGTCATTATAAATATTGTTACATACAGAAGCGATCAGATGTGAGGCAACTTAAAAGGAAAAGCCCTTTACTGTCATCTCTAGTGTATAATTATCACGGATAATCAAATGACGATAAGCTAAAGTTTGAGCTAAACCCAACCTTTTAAGAAAAAAGTTTCTACAAAGAAAAAAAAACTCAGCTTTTAAGCTGATGTCATTGCAGGGAAATATAAAAACAATTAACTTAAATCTTGATATTATAGGGTTTCTATATTTAGAAGTGTTTATCTAGATTTGGATTTGGAATGTAAGAAAAGCAGTTGTCTTTTTACAGCTTCTGTATAATGTGATCACGCCATCACTTTTAGAAGTAAGAACCATTTAACAGCTGAGCTTTGCTTTCTGTGATGGCAGCGTCTTCGGGAGGTTTTGACACCTCTTGTTGGTGGCCGGCAGCTCCGGAGTGCGTTCTTGTTCGCTGGTTTTCACTTTGCTGTGACACCTGTGTTATTTTGGACCCTTGAAACATTTAAGGTTTCTGAAGATGCGCATAATCGTACAGGGCAGCTAAACAGTACGCTTCCCCCCCTCCGACATATGCTTCTTGAGACTGTTACTGCCTGATGTCAGATTGTTTTTTTTTAAGGCTTTTATTGTTATCTCTGTTGTCCCGTGGGCGTGTATGAGCGTGTGCACGTGTGTGTGTGTGTGTACAGTATGTTTTTTATGCATGTTGTTTATCCTTTTACTTACTAGAACTGCACTGACCACTGAACCGATCTGCAAAGAGCTGGAACAAATGTGAGGCTCGCCCTCTTCCACTTCACCCTTGCGGTGCCACACTGAGTATGCAGGTAGAGACTGGGGTACATTCAAAGACAATGGGTGCTTTCTTTAGTACATGCATGGAGGTATGAGCAACTTATTTACATTTTTATATCCAGTGTATACAACCCGTTGTATGTCTGAGTTCATTTTGAATTAATGAATCAACTTGTGAGAAAAGTGAAATGAAGGACATTTAATAAGTGCTACAATTGAAGAAGCTGTGAGGGAAACACTCTAGTTTCTCGCTGAGACTTAAATGACCAGGTTGATATGCTCACTCCCACCCTCTGTGTTCTGACTAGTAGTTCTCTAGTCAGAGCACAGTGTTGAATATAGTATATATGTCAATTAAATAAGTTTTGTAGTGTATAACACTCCCAGGGTTGCCGTACTCCTGTTCCCTGTGCAGGAATTGCCTTTTTTTTAATATCGTTATGAACAAGGGACAGCAAAACTGTTGGGTCAAATATGAATGTCAATCTCAATGGAGCCTGTGTCTGTACTGAGACACCCTCCGGTCATTTGGGACCCCTTCACCCAAGTTCTGACTGGTGTTTTTGACAACGCTTTTCATCCTAGTCAAATCAATGTATGTTGCTCTGTGCAACCTGAGTCTATCATGTGGGTGGTACCAAGCCAAGTTGTGAGACATGAATGCCTTTCAGTGCTAGAAATTCAGCAAAATTGTTCTTCCGAAATGTAGAAAGTGAAAAAGTCACAATAAATGTCACAATAAATGTATTACATTGTTAGTAGCGCAACCTGCCAACTACTATTATTACCACTATATTACTATTATAATCAATATAATTCTCAACATTGCCTGTATCTTTAGTGTAGAGCGATTCCTGGTAGCTAATTAGCTTAGCCTAGCATAAATCCTGGAAACACTAAAGGAGCTAGCATGGGGCTATTAGAGGATAACAGCTTTTCTTAAGCTCATGGGTTTTGTTTTTTTAAAGCTAATGATGTTATATGTGGACATTTTAATACGTTTACTATTTATTTTTTTAAACTACTACTTCTTAGAACAACTTATCTGTATGACACTTTAAACTTCAGTGTTTTGTGTAGGTCAAACTAGTGATGTATAACATGCTAACTTATGAGCTAAAATGTGCTTGTAGCCTGTAATAAATAAATACAATAATACTAATAACAAAAATAAAATAAAAAAAGATCCAGGCTAGTTGTTTCCCCCTATTTCCAGTTTTTATGCTAAGCTAAACTGATGGGCTGGTAGTAACATTTTTAAATTTTGCTGCAGACATGAGTGTGATATCAGTGTTTTTATCTAACTCTTGGTAATGAGCAAAACATAATGGCTGCATTACCACAAATCTGTTTTTCTTCCTTAAGCACAAAGTCTTCTTTTTCAAGTAATACTTCATTACATTTCAGAAGATCATATTGATCATATCTTATTTTTTTAAACACAAACCAATTTGTCTTCAGTATTTTTGAAAATCAGATTTTTTTAATATGGGGATTTTCCTTTTCAGAATTTCTTTCAGATGTTTACAGAAAAGTTATTAGGGATCTGTTCACATACAAAATTGTCTTTGAGGCTGTTTTTCACTGTTAGAAGTGTGGCAATGCGCAGCATGGACTAGTTAAAATTATTATGCAGATTATTATCTGCACCACAATATATTGTTAAAAAAGAAAAAAAAATGCTACCTACACAGTATGTAACACTATGAACTAGTTCACACGGTATGTTTACCTTTGATACTTACAGTAAACTTTGCTAAAATCATTTCTAGTATTAATTTTACGGGTTATAATACTAACAATACAACAGTAAGAGCAAGTCTTCTCTTTTCATATCCTCCTGACAACTTGCTCCATCATGAATGACCACCCTGCATGCTGTGTTAAAGAATGCACCCAGTTATTTGACTAACTGCATTTGCCCCCATACAGAGGAAAAGAGACATTGTGTTTATTGCACGTGTGACCTGCAGTTTGATTAGGAAACACTGACACCTTGTGGCTGGAAAGAGAACTGGACCTCTGTCCTTATCAAAGCTGTAATAGTACAAATAGATAATGGTGTTAGGGATTTTTTTTATTAATCAGAACATGCAAGATATGTGTGTATAATGAAAATAATTGTATTTCTGTGTCCAGTTATGGTTCACTGATGCTTAAAAGTACCCACCCGCGTTACATTAGTAACATCATTAGAATTTTACCACTGAATAGAACTTTTTTAAGGCTTTATGTTTCATGCATTGATACTAACCGCAGATAGGTGGGTAGTCTCAGTTCTGCTTATTTTGTTCTGCTAAATTATGCTTATTTAAAGCAAAGTGCATCTGGATGGATCTTGTAACAGGATTCATGTCAAATTTTATCCTAAAATATGTTTGAAATCATGTTTTAAAAAAATATTGTTGATTCTTAAACAAGAGAAAGTCCTTTCTAGTGTTGTAGGTTTGTCACAGTTTTAGTCAGAATTGTCCACAATGTGAAAAAAGTGTGAAAATTTACATACTGCTGGATTTTTCATTTAAAACAGGACATGCATAATCTGAGTGTGTGGTTGTTTCTGTAAATGGCCACTATCTACATTTTTAGTGCATGCATTGTCTGATGAGATGAGATATGGATACTGTTTAAAATCAAACCTTTTTCAAAATTCAAAGATATAATGTCAGTTAATGTCCCACAGGTCTTTGATAACCCGTATAGAGTTACAGAGCTTAGAGTTTTAGAGGTTTTATGGACTGTTGCCCGTTAGGCACAATATCTTTGGTTTCTGAAGAATGTGAGCATGCTAAATAGACCAAAATCCATAAAACAGCTGGATTAACCTAAACCTACCCCTAACCAGAAAGACCCAGGTTAATTTTTTTCAATTAAAAAATATAGTAATTAGATTCAGATAACTTTGTGTATTATAGTATTTAGTTTTATTTTATTTATTTCGTTTATTCTAAACTGCATTTATTAAAATTATGTAAATGTGGAAAAACTGCAAATTTAGTTTGTGGGTTTTTTCCCCACAGCCATTTTTAAAAACAAGCCGCTCAGAGCATGTGTGTCCTGTTTCCAAAGCCCATAGAAAAATCTCCCAGTTATGCCTTTTTTTTTTCTTCATGTTAAGCGATTCTGAACTGTTAAGTGTTTGCATGACACAAAGGCAGGGTCCTTTATGTTTTAAACTCATTTAAAGCTGCAGTAATTGATATTTTTGGTCTCTTGGGGCAGGAGGACATAAAGCAACATGTAACACCTCCCTATGAATCTTTCAAGATGATTAGATGAGCAAAATGTCTTTCACCTTCCAAACCATGTCTGCGGAGAGTGTCGTAGCTGAAAAACCATAACAAGCAGCAGTCTGAGGAGCTTGGAAAGCTAGCAGTCAGTCAGCATGTCAATGGTTACACCTTCCTGTTGCCAGGCTAGTATGAAAAATGTGCACATAAAAGGCACACTGGCATTAGTGTTGCTGAGTTGCTTTTGCTGCATGTTAAAAAATGGACATGTTGCCATTCCTTGGTAACGAACATGGAGAAAAACATGCAAGCAGCCTTTTTTTTTTTTTAAATGAAAATAAACCAAAACAGTTCAAAGGTCTTTGAGTATTCCATAAAACTGTTTATAATTCTTTCTGGATCCATCACTTTGTGGCCCCTTTAATGGGAAGCATGGTCATTGAAGCTTTTGCTTATCTAAAAATCTTGATTATAGCAGCTTTAAAGAGAAACTTAAAGGAATGCACCTGTACCTGAAATGTCCAGATGAAGTAGCTTTTTGCACTCCATGTCTTTAGTTCATCTTTACTTCTACTGTTTTCTGACAGACTGGCAGACAGATCCACTGGTTGGGGGGGGTCAGTGGCACACAGTAGGGATCTAGACCAGCAGTTATTCAAAGGTTTTGGCCTCCCGTTACTGTGTGTGTTTGAAGTTGAAGTGAGTAGCAGTGAGGATATGTTGAGACTCTTTGTTGTACATTTCTCTCTCCACACAAACGAGGTGTCACAAGTATTACTAATGAGCACGAGGCTCCAGCAAAAGACAAACTCCTATGCAAAGAAATCCCAGACTAAAGCTTTTACCTGTTTCTAGGTTTTGCAGTTGACAGGTTTTATTATATTTTATTGGGTGATGTGTATTCCTTTCTTGTGAAATACTGAGTACAGTAGACCAAGACAGCTCTCATTTATGTCCTTTTCCCCCCACAGCATTTTAAAATGTACTCTAAAAGAATTATTGTAAAGAAATGCATATATATATGAATAGTATACAATCATATTTATTTTTTCCATACATGTATTAATAATACCCATGTTTGAATTTCCTCTGCCTTAACTATAGTAGCTATAGAAAGGGACCTCTGTCAGACAGACCCGCCTTCGCTAGACCATAGTTCTCCTGCTCCTGGTTGTTTCCTCTTCATAAATAAGCTCACGTGGAATGAACGTCTAGTTACTGAATGTGTTCACACCACCTCACTGTACAGTAGAATGAAGGTGACGCCGACGCCTGTGATCGCTCACTGGCTTCGGTTCCACAGTGTTGCTGTCCTTACTTACAGGAATGATAACTAACGGTCCACGTTTTAGTTTGAGTGGATGGTGCCTTTTTTTTCTTTTTTAAATTTCATCAGCTAAACTTGTCATGGGGTTTTAATTTTGTATTTTCACACTTCGTCTGTCAGTCTTTTATTTTTCTTGTTACTATGTAGCATATTGTTAGCAGCTAAGTATCTATTTGATTTGACTGCAAAGAATCCTGATGCAGGATTGGCTGTTGTTTTCTCTGCTCATAGATATCGTCCTCACACATTACTGAAGCGCAGTTATGTTTTGAAATGCTGTACATAAAAAACATTTTAAGGACTTCTCATTGAGATATAGTAATTGTCTTCTAATGCACTGTCGTTGCTAAAATATCTAGTGGTAAATAAAAAATATGGTATTTAATGTTTTTTAATGTCTCGCTTTAGACACTAAACTTCTGGCAGTGCTATGAAAGTTAGAAGGTAGGTGTGTGCGTGTGTGTGTGTGCGTGTGTGCGTGCGTGTGTGTGTGGAAGGACACTTACTTGTACAACGCTTTTATAAAATCTAGTGCACCTCTAGGCTGCCCGTCCTCTCACATCGCCTCTTTTTTGATAGTATTGCATGTGCCTGTCTTTTTCCAATGGAGAACATAAGCACTTACTGTCGCTCTCGCAACACTTTGTACAGGCGGACAGACGCTCCATCTGCAGAGTTGAAAGAAGTGATGCCATTTGCCTTTAAAAAAAAGAAAAAAAAGAAATTGGCATAAAAATCACAAAATGTTTCCACTGACACTCTGTCCCAATGTGTGTGTGTGTGTGTGTG